TTTTTTGCAAAGGACCGGCCGTAACCGGTTATGGGACCGGAACCGGGACCGGACGGCTTAACCGGTTACCGGTAAGCTTGACCGGTTATGGAGGATTTCACCGGAACCAGGACCGGTTATGGAGGGACCGGTTTAAAAAAAAAAACTCCAACGGCCCCTTCTCAACCCTAAAACTTAGTAAGGAGTTGTTTACTTAAATGCTTACCCGGTAAGTACTTATCTCAGGAGTCAATACTATAACTTATTTTACTGGGTAAGATTGTTATACATTAAAATGGTAGCGTATGCAACAATTTACCTGACTAGCATTTACCCGTGTAAGAGTCGTCACTCTCACTTACCGAGTAAGACTCTCCATTCTTATCATTGCTCTTACCGAGTAATTTTTTACCCTTGCCATGTTCTCAGATAAGGAAAATTATTCGGTAAACGTTTAGTAAACGATCTCTGATTCAGGTCTTTGGAGTATTGAAGGAAAAAAGAGCACCACGGTTTTAAAGAAAACCATTGAATGTCATATTTAGTCCTCTTGGTTTCTACTATGGATTATCGTCATTCTAGTTAAAAAGAGGGTCGAAAACGTAAAATAGGACAGGGTTTTGGGGGTGCTAAAAAGGAGCATCCAGCCCACCCATAAAAACTAGGGTTTAGAGATCTTACTTATATTTTGCAGGCAAAAGGGACTCCGGTGATAGCAAAAGAGAGGAACAGAGATGGATTCATTTTCGTCGCCGTCGAGTTCATCGCCGTCATCGCAAATGTCTGCCGAAGACTTCATGGATCAGCTCAAGGTTCAACTTGCCCAGGCCTACGCTGAGGAATTCCTCGAGGTCTCTCTCTCTGTCTATCTAGTTATACATACATGCATTATATTGAGATACAGTAGGGATTGTTTTTTGTGATATCATTGTTGATTTGTGTACTATAATGGTCGAGTTTATAATTATTATTTGCGAAATTTCCCCAATTTGAGAGATTTTTTGTTACCCTAGATCCGTTTTTGTGAATTCTTATCGGCTTTCTATTTGCGAATGAAGAAGGGAATGTAATCCTAAGAATCAAAGTATAACACAAAGAATTTGATATGCCGTGCTCATAAAATTAACAATCACTTTTCATGTTGGTAAACAATTTGATTGTTTGTTGATATAAAGGAAGAAAGATTCAACATCCAGGGACCAAATCCAGACAAGGATTGCTCCCTGCTAACAAAACATTGAACAACCTAATTTGTTTTGTAGTGTGATATGGCGATTAACTAGCATTTATACAAATCCGCTAATCAATTCTAAAACAAGCGATCACTTCCAGTCATAGGGCAATAGGTAAATAAGTTCTCCCATTCAAGCCAATACGATGGGGAACTAACAGAGGTGTAATGCAATGGAGTAGGTGTTTTTGAGTTAGGTCATCTCCACAAAGGAATTTGTATATGTACTACTACGTTTGTGCCTCTCTTATGCTCCTTATACTAAGCCACTTCAGCTTTGTGAAAGGCATTTGCTGCTGAAAACATTATGCTGGTGGCTTCGTCTTTGCTACAAAATTGTATTATGTGCTTATTTTGTGGTTAGTATCTTGATTACTTAGTTAGTCACTGGTGTTTTTTTGGTAGTAACTCAAGATTTTCAAACAAACCTGTTTATGTGCTCAAGCATCTTCTTATGTCATTCCTCATCTTCTTATGTGCTGTCAAATATAAATAAGCTTCATTTTAGTATATAATAATATATATTGACCTTCCTTGAAAGAGACTGTCCAAATTTTGGCAGAATATGGTATCCTAAAAGCCCTTTCCCTTGATAATGTTGTAAATATCAGCGTTACATCTTCTTTTCTCCAATCTAATATTTCTCTAAAACTGGTAGTAGGAAGAATTTCATACACCGGTATTAAAATATTGTATGCCGAGGTCTTAAGTTTATAATATCCTTTCTTTCCTTCTTTTTATAATCAGGGTTTTTTTTGTTTTTTTTCCTGATTAAGCCTTGTGTGGTTAAAGAGTCTCTACATATAAATACGTGCATATGGAGTAAGTGGTAAATGGACAATTGTGTTTGTTTTATGTGTTGAATGAACAGTATGAACGATAGAACATACCATTTTACTATTTTGTTTAAAATATGTGCAGAAAAAAAATTATTGGTTGATTAAATTTTAGGATGAAAACTATAAATAAAAAAAAGTCATCAATTTATAATTATTTAAACAAAAAATATTTAATCTAACATAATGATATAATTCAATCTAGGGGTGTATAGATGAAATATATAGGGGTATACTGGGGAGAAATATTGTCTTAATCTGGAACACATGTTACCTGTGGGTTGTGACTGTTCAATCAAGCCATCGTCTTATTCAACAAGCTGTAAACAAACAGACATGCATGCCTGAGCGAACAAATCATTCTTCCGATTGACGCCAACAGCAATACGTTAGTTGTATGATTATATTGAAGAGGAGACAAGAATTTAGAACTCGAGAGTAGTATTTAAAAACTTGGTTTTTAATCTTCTGAAAACTCAAATTATAATGTACAGATGCTCTGTTCCTTTTAAGTGCCCCATCAGTTACCCTGCTTTCTCTTCTATATCAGTTAAGTAATTGCTTAAGTATTGATGCAATGATGATGCTAAAACTTGAACTATGAAATCTCATGTCCTTTGACATTTACCATTTGTTGCTCCTTAAAAACTACTCTGTAAACTTCATCTTGTTGTGGGCACTGTAGACACTCTAAAGTACAAATTTACTTGATTATAACACGATTGTGGAGCAAGCTATACGGCACACACATAACAAAGATGTATATGGTACTGGAGAATATAAAAAATAAGCTACTTGCAAGACTTGTAAATATGTTGTGTATGTTGGGAAGATTTTGTTGGAATGTTGACGTTGTTTTAATTTGTCTGGAAAACAGACGGTAAGGGGGAAGTGCTTTGACAAGTGTATCACTAAACCCGGCAGCAGTTTGAGTGGGGGAGAAAGTAGCTGCATCTCCAGGTGTGTGGATCGCTATATCGAGGCCACTGGTATCATCAGCAGAGCGCTTTTCAATTCACAGCGATAGAAAAAAATTTGAAAGCAGAGCATTTTTAAATCAAAGGTTTCATGCATGGTCTCAGGACTATCTATCTATCTATCCATATCTATCTAGGCACATTGTATAATGTGCATCATGCCTTATATATGCTGGTTTTTGACACAAGTAAACATGACTTCTTGATTCAGCCATAAAATGCATGTTGAAACCTTAATTTCCATATTTCAATGAATGATTTTCATATATTTTTGTACTTGTCATTATAATATCCTTGCTGAAAATAAGGGTCTGTTTGTTAGTAGCTTTATGAGCTTAATGAGGCTCAACTTATTATGTCAGCTATATTTGACTATTTGGTAGTGACTTGATGATATAGAAAGTGTCTTATTCAGTGAGCTTCTAGGGACAAAGTTTATGCAAAAAACCAAGTTTTTTCAAAACTTTCCCTTCTGATTAAAAAACACACTCCATTCTATGAAAAAACCCTCACGACCTCCTTGATTTATATAGATAAATTAATATACATATAGTTTTATCCATACATGAGTTAATGGAAAACCAACCAAAGAACCCCTAAGTGCAAGTCTGGTCCCACCAGGTTGGGACAGGAGTGGTTAACTGGAACTGATCTACATCTTTATATATGCCAAATACTCATGGACACTCAACCTTTCATAAAGATTTGAACCGGTCTCTATTGGTAACTTGGGTAGTGTTGGACCAATGATCCTACTTTGGTAACCGATTTTCATGTGGCTCACTAGTAACTTGGTAAGCCTAAGGCTTGGTTACTAGGAAACTTGGCTAATACCACAGGTTGGATCGGTTAGCCAAAAGGATCAAGGACAGTCCAAAAACTGGGTATGTAGGACGGAGGCCAATCCAAAATGACCGGCTATAATGGCGAAGGGCCAAGCCAAGGCTGGTTATAACATATGAAAGAATTTAGAGTGGTAATTCAAATGACAAAAGTTCATTCTTGCATTTCATTTGCAGATTGAATTGATTAGATTTTGCTGAATCTCATGGTTGACAGATTAATAGATTTTATAATTTAAAGACCACTTTTGCATCCAATTTAACCAACATCTTTGCATCCACCCTCACCACCATTGTCAGTACTACTATTGTCAATTAATATTATCATTCTACCACTGACGACCATCACAGTTGCCACCATGGTCACCATCACAATTGCCACCCACCCACCCTATAACCATGCCACTACAGTTGACGATGCAACCACCAGTCCACCACCCCACCAACACCATTGCGCCACTACCGTTGTCATCATAGACACCACCCCCACGACCACCACCACTAGTTAATATTATCATTATATTGTATTTATAATTCAAAGAAGAAAGTATTGAAAATGTAATAAATGGGTGTTTGGTCATTGATTATTATTTTATTCCAATTCTGAAGAGATTTTATTCTACTTTTCTCTCAACCAAATGCACAATCAAATTTCATTTTCTCTCAACCAAACTTTATTATGCAAACCAAACGCATTTATACACAAATTGAGCAGATGAAAAAAATGTTTATAATTTAAGAAATTTAATAAAACGGTATCTTGGTTATTTATTATTTTTACTTTATTTCAATTGCAAAGCTACATTCTACTAACCAAACAAACGTATTCTAATTCTTTTAAGAGGTTTCATTCCAGTTTTTGACAACCAAATACGTGATCAAATTCAATTTTTTTTAATGAATTTCAGTTTCACTAAATTCCATTATGCAAACCAAACACATATAAACATACTCGGTGAACCGGTGGATGAAAAAAAGTTTGGGGAAGTAACTACAAATCCATATAAAGATGAGGGACTAAAGCTGCACTAATTCAAAAAAGATATAATAAATTTTCAATTTACCCCCTTCTAAAATTAGGGAAAGACAAAACGTGTCATAATTACAAGTAACAATGGTATTGAAATTAGAGAAGCAGGGTGAGTTGGAGGAGATGAGATACGATACGAGTCATGGCTACAACCATAACCAGATCGATATTTGTGTATGAGAGAGAAAGAAAGAGGGTCACTTTTATAACCTAAAAACAGAGTAAACGTCTCCTGTCCACTCTTATGGGTGATCATCATATAACTGTGAGTTTTATGAGCCATGAAGAAGAAATCCATCATCCCCACAGATGTCAATTTACACACCAATAATCAAATTTTATTCCAACACCAACAGGACGAGAGCTTTTTTAAGCTCTCTTTGCCTTTCATGATCTCATTTTGGTTCCCTTTTCTGCTTTTCCTCTCTACATTCGGCTTCAATCATGGCAACGAAGGTCGTTTTCTCTTTCCCCCCCTTTCAATTTTGTTAATTGAAAACTTATGCTTATTTGTTCTAGATTCTATGAACCTTGATTGATTGCTTGATTGATCCTGTGAATTCTGAATATGCCTAATTTACGCAATGTTTGGTTTTGGATTTCATCATGTTTTCTAGGGTTTTCATTTCAATTGATGATGATCTTAATGTGATGTGATTGTTAATTTCTTCAGGGAATGTAGATACATATAATAGCAACTTTACTAATACTACTGCATATCCTTACATCAAAGAACAAGATCAAGATCATACAGATAGGGTTCTTTTAGAGTTTAATGTATCTGGGGTGGCTCAAGATCATAGCTTTTTAGATTCTGAGAAAAACCCTAATCAGGAAACGAGTCCGGTTGAAGAAGTAGTTTCGAAAGTTTTAGGTTACTCTGCTTTAGTTTGCGAGAGAGAGATTCAAGATAGTTACGTTGAAAAGAAACAAGAGGATGTACAAAGTGGAAGAACCCATCTCACATATCTTAATCTTGATGAGTTTAGAAACATTACAAAGCAAGATAATGGTTCGAGTGGTGCACCTACTGGGTTAGCCAACATTACCCATAGGCTCGAGCCTGATGGGACTGAGTACAACTATGCTTCTGCTTCCAAAGGTGCAAAAGTTGTGGCACATAATAAGGAAGCAAATGGAGCAAGCAACATCTTGGGTGAAGATCATGATAAATATTTAAGAAACCCGTGTTCTGTTCCTGAGAAGTACGTCATCATTGAACTTGCTGAAGAAACTCTAGTTGATGCTGTCAAGATTGCAAATTTTGAACACCATTCTTCGAATTTTAAGCAGTTTTCGTTATCTGGGAGTTTGGTTTTCCCGACTGAGACATGGTACCCTCTTGGAAATTTCGTTGCTGAAAACGTGAAACACCATCAATACTTTAAGTTGCCTGAGCCCAAATGGACAAGATACTTGAAGTTGACGTTAGTTAGTCACTATGGGTCGGAGTTTTACTGCACGCTAAACGTAATTAAAGTATATGGTGTAGATGCAATTGAAAGGATGCTTGAAGATCTTATTGTGACTTCAGAAGAATCAGCAAATCATAATTCGACTGCATCTCCTGCTTCGCCACATTCTTCAGGCTCCAAAAATGGGAAAGTGGATGGTGAATTCAGGAACGTGGCTGACGCTACGAGTAGAAAGATGGAACGTGTTGATGATGGAAAACGGGTTGATGATGATGTGGCAAAAAAGCCAGTGAGTGTGACCAAAATTCCTGAACTTGTAGCGAAAGGTAATGGAAGAATACATGGTGATGCCGTTTTAAAGATTTTGATGCAAAAGGTTAGATTACATGAAAAGAACTTGTCTTTGTTGGAGGATTACATTAAAGAACTGAACAAGAGACAAGGGGACGTTCTTCCTCAGATTGATGTTGAACTTGCAAAGTATTCGGCTCTTGTGGAGAAAACCAGAGCGGAAATTAAAGAGCTTTTGATATGGAAGGCGTCTATGGTGCGTATGTCTCCTCTAAACAGTTTGATGAAGTGATGAACTTTATGATAAACACGCACACACACACACATACACACACACACACACACATATATATATATATATATATATATATATATATATATATATATGGTCAGGTTCAGGGGAAAACTGTAAAATAAAGAAAAACCGAGGAACATCTTGGTAATCGTTCATCTGGAATTTGTCCGGATTACTTGTATGAACATATGCATACCGTCCAGATGAATGAATCATTACCAAGGTGTTCCTCGGTTTTATATTTTTTTGGGGGTTTTCCCCCGAACCTCTCCCCCCCCCCTCTATATATATATATAGAGAGAGAGAGAGAGATTAAGAATCATGTGAGAATAGGAGTTAAGGTGAGAAATATAAGAAGGGATTTGGACTCTTGATCACTTTTAATTAGTGTTGATCTAATGGCTCAAATGAAGTCCCAAAATAACCTATGAATTAGCTTAGAAAGGTATTCTCAATTGATCTTCAATTAGGATTGATCCAAGGGTGGAGATCCCCTTTTACCCTTCTCACGATAACTGCTATTCTCACCGGAAACCAACTCTCTCTCTCTCTCTCTCTATATATATATATATATATTTACCTACAATTTTCGACATTTTCAGGAAAAAGAAATTGCTGACTTGGAGTCGTGGAAGGCCTTCGTGTCATCCCATTTGGAGTCGATTGTCAAAGAAAATGCCATGCTCAGGTTATAGATGTTATATTCACAAGCATAATTAAGAATTAGAAGTGCATGGTTGAAATCATGAAATGTGATTGTCTTCTTTTGATAATTTATTCCATGATTTACATGTATATTAGAATAGAGGAAAGTTCAAATGGGAACCATATATTTTTTGAGAACCTGAGAACCAACAATTTTATTTATTATTCATGAAGATTATAATCCTGAATAGCCATTAATGTCATCATGAATATCATGCAATTTCGTTATTCATGATATTGTGCATTTTCATCATTATACTTGAAGACAAATATCGTGTTTTGAATAGAAAAGGTTATTCTGATGCATTAGGGTGTTGGTTGTCATGCAACTATCGTGTATACATATATATATATATATAGAGAGAGAGAGAGAGAGCGTGCGTGTGTGTGAAGTTTTGGGGAAAACCCCCAAAAATGAAAAACTGAGGAACATCTTAATAACCGTTCATTTGTATGCTATGCACATGTGCATACTGGTAATTGAAGATGTTTCCTGGTTTCTATGCATGTGTGCATATGTGCATACCGTTCGGATGAATGCTTACTAGAGTGTTCCTCATTTAGAAGAAGGTTCATATGTGAACTTATTGAAAAAAATCTATTTGAAAATGCATATTTGAACCGACATTACACATTATTCATATGGGTTCACATATGCCTCTTCAAGTGGATTTTTTCAATAATTCACGTATGAACCTTCCATTAACTTTCCGTGTTTCCCTTCTTACTTTCTCACGATACTTAGTCTTCTTATTTGAACCTCCCAACACACACACACACACACACACACACATATATATATATATATATATATATATATATAAATAACTTTCAGTTCTGTTTCATTTATCTTAACAAAAACCCTGTTTCGCAGGCAAGCCATTGAGAAGGTTGCAGTTGATCAAGAAAATCTGGATAAAGCCGAGCTGACTGTGCTGACTGTGAGCGTTTCTTTTGCAATTGCGGCCATCTTGAAGATCATTTCAGATCGAATCTTTAACACGTCCAGCCACTCTCCTTTCAGCAAAGCTCACAGGGACGATAGAAATTGGAAATTGCTACTCGTTACCTGTGTGATCACCGCGATCATTGCTTTGAACTTCTATTAACAACCAAAAATGTATCTCTAGAAGTATTGTATTCTTTGTAGTTGTTTTAGAATCTTAATTTTTTGTGGCATTTCGATCCGAAATTAAGCCTTATCTGGAGATAGGTTATACACAGCTGAATGTTTTTGATCTGTATGTTCTTATAGTTTGCAGATTTGATCTCATCTATGGAGTTATTACAGCAGTTGGTGTCCACTTTTTTAGCAGCTTTGTTTTGTGGGTTTTGTTTGGTTGGTGTGGGAAGAATGAATAAGTGATAGGTGGATAAATGAATGTAATTACGAAGTTATGGTCATTTTGTATTGTCATCTATCTTTATACTGGGGTTTAATTAAATGAGAACTAATTTGTTTGTGGTAACGATAAAGTCCAATCTCAACCATAAATCAATAAATAAATTAAGAAATTTATAATTTTGATAATTTTAAATTAAAATTTTATTGCAAGGACAATTAACAAAATAGGCTTTACAAGCCCCCTGTTTTGTGAGCTATTTTTTGCAATTAAATGATTCCAAATTTGACTAGTTTAATAATTACGGCTTATTATTATCTATTTTTGTTAAAAAAAGTAAATTGAACTTATTTAAAAAGGTTTGACTAGGTTGGGTACAACGTTGACCACAAATATACGTGGTCGTGGGGTAAAAGGCGTGTTTGACTTTCGTATAGAAATATATTTTATTGATGAAAAGGCAAAATTACCCTTGAAACGTGAATTTCTTAACGGAACCCTTGACGGCATCCAAAGTAGTACTAGTAACCAGCGTTACTCCTTAGTCTCGTCGTCAGTTACAGGTCATCTTCACCGGCCCTTTCTCTCTCTAAACCTCCTTCTTCCTCTAAAAGCTCCCTCTCTGTCTTTATGCCCACCGGCTGGAGGTCACTGATGCCACCGGAACGTTAGGTTTTTCAGAAACGACGAGGAGATACTGTGATAATAACCGTCTTTTTATAAGGAGTTCTGTCTCACTCTAGGGTTTATGCTTGCTGAAGTTTTCATGTCGTATGAATATCGTCAATGGAGATTTCCTATGTTTTCTCCGGTGATGGAAATTTCCCCTTTATTTCTCTCTTCCTAGCCCTAGTTGTGACTCTTGTTTGTTGTTTCTTCTCACTCTTACCTTTTCGATTGCTGAAATTCTCGCAATCGGGTAAAACGAAAGCTTGTGATTGTGCATGTTCAAATTGTAAGCGATTTGCTGGAGGTTCTGATTCGATGGCTGTTACGGCGACGGCGAGGATGATGAATGGTGGTGGTGGAGGAGGAGGCCAGGTGGTGGTGGTGGAGAGGGAGCGGGAGCGGCAGCAGATGATAGGTGCGTCAATGATGGAACAGTTGGTTCCGGAAATCACGACACATGCTTTGAGCTACTTGGATTATCGTAGTCTTTGTAGGCTGTCAATGACCAATTCTTCAATGCGGAGGGCTGCTAATGATGATAATGCTTGGAAAGCCCTTTATCATAAGGTGATTGTTCTTTTCAATCTTACCCCCAAAATTACTATTCGTATAATCTGCTCTATAAGTTCCTGTATATTATGTGAATTATAGTTCATTCTTGGGTTTAAGTCACATGAAGAGCCTCTTTGCAAAAGGCAAGGGAAAAACTGCCTCGCTCAACCCTCGCAAAGATGAGGAGTCTACTCTTGGGGCACTGGGCCCTTTTTTGTATGCTATTCCAAATATAGCAGCCAAATTCTAGGGGGAAGGGGTTCATACTTGATACACAGAAGAAGTCACTAATCACTTTTATGATGTCACCTGTTAATGTTATTTGAACGCCAGCCCTCTAGTTGTGTGAAACTTCATGCATCTTCATCATGTGTCATTTACTAAGTGATTTGGATAACATATGATTGTTTACTGTTATGAGAATGTGTATATAGCTAGTCTTGTATTACTATATGAAGAATCATTTTACCATGTTTGGTAGTTTTCCTTTTTGTGCAACGAGGGCATCTATTGCATGCGTTGGTGTTCCTTAGATTTTAATAAGCCGATTTCACTAGATCTTTAACCATTTGAAATAGCTGTGTAGAGGTTATCAAGGGGTCAAACTACATACAGACATGTACTAACCAGTCCAGCCATTCAAATGCTTTGAGAAAGTATCTAGTGAGGAAAGATATTTCTGATAACTGATAGGAAGTAAGGTTAAATTTATGTTTCATTGAGTTGTTGGAGCATTTTATAACATTGAAACAATCTCAAACCAGAACCTGATGGGAAATTATCTTTCTAGTAACATTTGGAAATAATAAATGCTTGCATTTAAGGTGCAGATGAAATACTCCCCTAGTCTCCCAAAAAGAAATGCAATGTTTTAGTTCAATAAAGATGTTTGAGCAGGGGTGGTTTCAAATACAAACCTTGTAATTCTTACAAACAGTACAAACCATAGTCAATGCTTATATTAGGAAATTCTCATTTATGGACAATTATCATGATTCATTAATTATGATTGAGACATATATGGAAGATATAAGGTCCATTCATTGTGATCATGACTTTAGATTAGGAAACAAAATGGGATCTTATATTTATTAGACTAGATGAACGGCTAAGACGTGGTTTGCAAAGTTTGTTGGAATTAAAGGGTTTGTAAAATAAGCCTCCCCTGTTTGAGTATTGATTAAATATCTAAAATTCTCCTTAGTAAGGACATAATGAATTACACTCGTCGACCACAATCAAAGTTACAAACTGCAAGCAATGGTTACCAAGGAGCAAAAAGGTAAATAGGTTTGAAAAATGGAGGGTGTTGCATTTTTCTGGAAAGGAGGGAGTAGTGTTTTGTAGTCAAATGATGTCAACTGTAAGATTAGACATTGGAGTTCATCTATGAGCAGCAACATTTAACTCATGACATTGAGTTGCACTCTCACAAAGATATTGTGGGCCATTTCATATTACAGTAATCATTGAGATGCCACTAGACTGTTAGTTTAAGAGCATCTCCAGTAGATTCTCCAAAATGGAGAAAATGGGGATTTTTGGCAGCTTTTTGCTCCAAAACTTTCTCCAAAATGGAGAAAGTAGGAGAGAGAGTGTAAATTTCTCCAAATTTGGAGATATCTCCAAAAATGATTACCATGAGAAATGCTTTTTATTATATTCCACCAATAGGTAACATTGAAATGAAATGTTTATGAGAGATAAATAATATTTAATTAAATGTATGTAATATTTTAATAACATAATTAATGATGTACCCTCTAAAAAAGGGAAAATCTGTTGAATGCAATTTTTTTGGAGATTTTTGGTTCTCATTTTGGAAAACTTTTGGAGAATTTGTTGGAGATGCTCCAAGTGTTAGAATGTTATGGATGACAATCAAGTATGGAACCATCAAGCAATCTGAATATATAGTTGAAGTTCTATAAAGTTTACAGACTGTTTGAGATGGATCTGTATACCTGTCCAAAGTTAATGGACGATAGCAGTATACCTGTCCTGTCCTGACTTGTGTCATTTCATTAATAAGCCATGTACCTTCTGTAAAGCTGTGAAGGGGAACTCTATATAGCAGTATACCTCTTGGCCAAGTTGGTCACTGTATTAAGCTTAGAAGGGGAACTCTATATATGCTCAGAAACCTAGTCTTGTGGATCTGAAATAAACTTGTAAGTATTTGGTTGACAATTTTGAGATTGTTCTACTGATGTTTCCTAAGTTATTTGAACAAGAACACTCATGTGTGAAATAAAAAGGATGCAATGTTACAAGTTTGTCTAATATCAGAATCAACCTTCTGCATCCTTTATCTTCAAAAGATGGAAGTTTACCAGGATCGGTATGTTTCCCAGATTGCCTTGTTGGAACATGTAGTGCCTCTTTGATATGAATACCTAATTGATAAAGGAACTTAGTTTTTTAATATATTAATGAGTAGGAATGACTGTTAGTAGAAGAGAACCTTAACTGATTTCTTATCATTTCGTTAATTAATACATACTTCTTATAGTAAAGCTCTTTTGTTTTTCATAGTTAAGTATTTTTCTCATACTTGTCATATAGGTAATGCAGTTTGTGGCTTAAATATAATCTCCGAGTCTAGTAATTGTGTAACATAAGTACAATCTGCATATAATATGCTCCTAGAATTATATGCAGGAACTCATGTTCTATATATGCATGTAGCTGACTGTCAAGATATGGATGTGGAATGTCTCTATGTTTCCAATTGAGGAAGTGTTGAAACATAGATGTATATCATATTGACATTTTTATGTTCACATCTCATACTGGTATAATGAAGTTAACATTGATTTTTTACGGATCTTCTGTATCGCTTTAACATTGGTTTTGAAGTTGGAGAAAGACACTCCTGCTTCATGTTAAAGATGGTACAAATTGGATAGTCTGTATTGCTTTAGCATTTGTTTTCAAGTTGGGGTTAAGATGAAATAATATCTAATGAATGATGATTTGATAAGAAATGGCCACAGATAGTTGATTGGCCACTAGAAAGTTATAAATTTTTGTTCAATAGAATTCCTGATATCTGTTGTCTAAGATTTAGCAACACTTGCAAGTCCAAGGATAAAAAGGAACATCTGTGCTGCAATGGATTTGAACAACTTGGGAAGTTGCTCTTTTTGTTGGCTGACAATGAAATTGCATGCAAATGATTTTTAGTTTAAATATCTTTAGGAAATGTGGAGTAATTAATGGGCTTTTAATAGTTCATGCAATAAGTTTTTGGAGTCAAATACTGCAAATGCGTTGTATCACGTTGTGCTGTTTTTTATCTTCCCCTTTTGTCCATAGGACTTGTTTTTTCTACTAGAGCTCTTGATGGATCCTTTGCAAGTGCTTTGAAACTTGTAGCTTTCACCAAAGGGTCATTGGCCCAGCGGTTCCCAAGCCCATCCTCCCAGGAGGTCAAGGGTTTAAACCTTCCCAAAGATGAAGAGTGTGCGTGAGTTTTTGCGGTATTTAAATATTATCTACTTGAGAAAAAACTTATAGCTTTCTTTGTTCTCTTCTCACTCACTCACTCTTTCTTTTCTTTTTATTTTTGCGGTATCCTGCATTCATGATCTTGGAAACTTAAAAGGCTAGATTTAGAACCTCTTCTAAGTTAAGTTGCTAAATGTTGTTTTTGCATATATTATGTTTAGTTTTTCTGTTCGTTTTTTACTTTATTGGGTTATGGTGATAGAGGGTGGTTGGGTTTGCCCAGATAAACAAATAAATTATAATAACTTTCTTTGTGCATAATTTGAAGTGTTCTAGATCTGAAAGATTTTGGCTCATGAAAATATTACTTGTTGGTACTAATTTCAATTTCACAAAATGTGTCTTGATCTGCACCTTTTAATTTTCTACTTGTATTTCAGGATTTTAGTATGGAACAAGATAGCGTAACACCTGCTAATGGGTGGAAGGCCTACTATGCAGCTACTAGAGCAATTGTGAATATCAATCAACGATTTTTTGACATCATTAGAGAAAGATCTCTTCCAGAAATGGGTCGGCTTTGGCTTAATGCAGATTATGTGAAATGTATTCATTCCTCAGGGGAGCTCTTTACTGGGTGAGGTTCTGATTCCTGATTACTGTTTACTGTGATTAGATTGTGTCTTTTTTATAATTTAATACTTACGTACTCCCTCTGTTCCAGTTTCACTTTTGATGTCAAATGCGATGATTTTCAAATTTCATAATTGATGAGCTCTAAAACTACTCAGGAACAAATGATTACCACATTAATGTTTATAATAGAACATGAAAATTGGTGATGCAAACTTGCCACCTTATTTATATGAATTTTGCATGAGGGGGTTGTACTAGGTTCAATTTTGGACATCAAGCTGTTGCTCTCTCTTTTTATTTAGTGTTATAAATTCTTCATTTCTTTTTCTGAACATATTGTGTATTTTACGCAGTTGAGTTGACTGTAATAACCAATTTACTTTCAGTCACATTATTTGTTGTTACTTCTTCCCTTTTGATCATCCTTTACTGGGATTATGATTTACATCTGCAAATAGCCTAAATGGACACACGATTGTTAAGCAGTTCTATGAATTTTAGGTAGCGTAGCATGCCTATGCTTTTGGGTATCACTAATTCATATATTCCATGTGCAATAATGGATTCTTCTGATGTAATCTTGTATGGCGAGTTTGTCTTGCTGCCAACCCAACTTTGTACTTAGACCTAGCAGGATGTTTGCACCTATGGATTAGTTTATGTCTCTTATCTTTTTGGATTAGTCCAAGGGGAAGAAGGGATCTCCACCCTTGGATCAATTCTAATTAAAGAGAACCACTAGATCAATTTTCTTCTAAAGTGCAATCCATGGATTGTTTTGGGATTAAAAGTGATCAACGGTCCAAATCCCTTCTTACACTTCTCACCTTAACTCCTATTCTCACATGATCCTTCGTCTATATATATGGCAAATACAACAAATAAACTCACACACCCTCCTCACGTTCGGTGAGGTTTGAGCCGCTGACCTCCTACGGAGGCCAAAGGATACTGCTAGGCCAAAGGCCCTTTGGTTTATTTGTGTTATTTATAGACATGGGAAGGGGAATTCTATTAATGAAAACAAAGGGTGGGGTTATGTATGTTTATTATTGATATACATCTGGTTTTGTATGCAGTTATAGCGGGGTCTTAGGGAGTTGGCAGCTGTCTTTTAACTGGGACCCAGCCGTAGATTTCCAGGTTGGAGATGTAAGATCGCGGGTACTGACAGGTGTAGCTTGGGTGACGATGAAAGCGTATGTTGGGGTGGAACACAACCCTTTGAACGTGACGAATGTGTTTGAGGTCCAGAATGGACAGTGGTACATGGTCCATCATCATAGCTCTGTGGTGCTTGCCAATGGTGAAATGGCTGATCAACCACCTATGTTGGGGTGAGAAGAGCTTAATGAGTTTAGATGATACCTTGTTAAAAAAAAGGTGAAAAGAGGAAACGAAAAATGGTACAGTTTGTTTTACTAGGAAGGATTGCAGGAATGAATATATGTTGGTTTTACTTTTGATATGATGATGATCATATATGAATCTTTCTTCCGTTTTTTGTTTTGTTCCTATCGATGTAAATCTTGTTTTAGATGGGCATTGGAATGTTCCATGGGGATGAACATTTTATTCATATGTGAAGATTAAGTTTGGGACAGTTTTGAGAGGCGTTTAGAACAGATGTACATTGGCCTGGTACTGGAGCTGAGCATTTTATTCATATGTGAAGATGTTGGGGCAGTTTTGAGAGGTGTTTAGAATAGATGTACATTGGTCTGGTAGTAGGTTTCTACTTTCTATGGTGTATGAAAGACAGAAAAGAGTTGAACCAATAAGTTATTAACAAAAACGATTAAAGAATTGGGAGAGTTGGTTATTATATAAAAGTTTATACCAAAAATGGAAAAATGGAGTAAAGATTAGATTAGGTTCTTATAAGAATCTATTTTTATTATATATATAATATATATATATATATATATATATAGGTGGTTTTATTTTGCAAACCATTCATTTCATACAAACTAGCATCAACCAATAACAAAATTTCATTTTTTTCTTCTTATGTTTAATGCATAAGGGTATGATCGTCATTTGACTTTATAATAGATAATTTTGGTAATATTTTAATTTTGTTTAAATCTGGAAGATTATATAGATTTGACGTTTTTTAGGAAACGATCAATTAATTTGTTTTTAATAGATACTTACCCAACATTAATATTTTGTATTATTTTATTAAATAAAAATAACCCGTCAATTTCAAAGTTTATGTTATTAAAGAAAGCGTGCATCGTTTTCTTCTATCTTTTTCTCTCCATCATATATGAAGATTTGAAGTATCCAATATTTTTCGACGTAGAATGAAGGATTCTAATAATGTAGGTAAGGAAACTTGTACATGATATGTAGATTGAAAGGGATAATCAATACACTATTGGGTATGATAATGGTGTGAAAGCAGTCATTTTGAATCTATTGGATATGATAACAGTATGATACATGTCTCATTCCTTTTATTGTATACATATGATCCGATTTTATATTATTTTGGTTAGCATAATGTGATCGGCTTACTATAAGGTTTCTCAATCTATTAACTTCAAAGATGTGTGTGTGTATATATATATATATACCGTCCATTTATATATATAGGTGGGTTATTATACAACATTTTACATTTGTACAACCAATCTCAACCGTCCATTTAATTTGATGAATATGTGATTTCATAGAAGTTTTAATTGTTTTCTAATATAAAGTACTGATCATAATTAATAAACTCTATTCATCTTTTATAAATATTAAAATCATAATAAATGAACTCTCATCGTTTCCATAAACATCTCAATTTATTGGGTTGTATTGGTTGTAAGTTACATTTGAAACGAACTATATATATATATA